CAGGGCATTATTCTAAAACATATATATATATATGGTTTAGAATAATGCCCTGGAGAAATTGGGGAATGATCAGGAGAAAAATGATCAGGAGAAAACTGATATAGATATAGATATAGATATAGATATAGATATAGATATAGATATAGATATAGATATAGATATAGATATATAGATATATATACACACACACATATATACATATAATATGTCTTCTGTGTATGAATTTGAGTTTTGTTTTGTTGTTTTGTTTTGTTTTTGGTAAATATGCTGGCTAGAATCATGTCACACACACATATATATAAGTTCCAGCAGACATAGCCAGACAATTATTAAATTGTGAATTTAGATTCTGAATTTAAATATGTTTTAAATGGTATATGTTATTTGTCCATTGTTGCATTAACTGTATACCTGTATATGGACAATGCTTCTTGAAGCAAGTCACCTTGCAGGCCACTCAGAGATAGACCATTGCATGTCACCTGCCATGTCTGTTGAATGCCATTGCATGGAAATCAACCACTTGACATCAAATACTACAACATTAGTATTAATGTTGTTAACAACATTAGCGGATGTTAAAGAAACGTCTGGGGAGAAAAGTTAGTTGAAACCAACATGCAAAAGATTGGAAAGGTAACTAAACTCACCCTCCCGTTTCACATAAAATCAACCAATTTTGTTCTTGCCCGTATGACTTATGTTGATATTTCCTAAACAATTGATTGGTGCTTCAACTGTCAGCAAGATCAAAGCTGAACACAGATCGGCTCATGTCTGACAACTGATCAGCTCCTTTGTGAGTGAAGTCTTTCAGGACTTTGAGCTGCTAGACTAAATTTTCTGATGCTTTACATTTTCTGACTGCTAACAGCAATTGGCAGATAGCTCTGATCTCGATCTGGCAAGAAACCCTCAGTGCATTCGCCAGCAACCTATGCAGAAGGTATCTAGATTAAAAATTCAGTGGAAAGAGTTGAGTCTTTAATCTCCTATTTGGCCTTAAAGTGCTTAAAAATGAAGCACCAGGCTTTTGTTTTTATTTTAGCATCATGTTAGGAATATTACAGAATTGAACTCAAGTAGCAGTACAAACTCTCTGGTTTTTATTTTCTTTGATGGCTTCAGCTTAATCATGAAACAAATTACATGTTGTGATGGAAAAAGCTTCCAACTCACAGGGCAGAGTGTAAGGCTGCAATCAGACACACCTAGGGTGCATCTTCACTATAGAGGTAATACAGTTTGACACCAGTTTAAGAGCTGTTAATGCAATCCCAAGGGATTCTGGTTTCACAAGGTCTTTAGACTTCTCTGTCAAAAAGAGCTAGCAGTTAAAGTGGTATCAAACTGCATTATTTCTACAGGACAGATGCACCCTTACTTTGGACTTAAGCAAGCATCATGGAGTGGAACTTCCCAGCATACCAGTGAGAATTAAAGAGTTCAAGCTTAATAAGGCATTACAAACATCTGAAATCAGCCACTTGCACTATTACATGCTCCCTTTTTCTTCTTCCCTGAAGTGTCAAGAATGGCAAACCAACCATGGCCTTTCCTAATTGGTAGTAACATCACCCACCAATTCAATACATAATTGAAAATCCCATTAAATTATTCAAGTTGAAAAAGGGGCTGCTCCCTACCCTGGCAACTTCTCTTCTCTCCAGCTCTCCCTTTCTTTCTGAAATAATAATAATACTTTATTATTATTATTATTATTATTATTATTATTATTAGGAGTATTTATACCTCGCTCTTCAGCTACAAAGGCTCTCAGAGCAGCTTACAAATGGTTAATTAGATGGTTCCCTGCCCTGAGGCTTACAATCTTAAAAAGACATGACACAAAAGGAGAAGGAAATGGCAGTGGGATGGGGATCAGGTCCAGCAGTTCTTCTCTCCCTCTGAGGCCTGGACCATGGCAGATGGACTGGAGGAAGGGCTCTCCTTCTTAATTTAGGCTAGGGCCATGATAATAGAATCATAGAATCATAGAGTTGGAAGAGACCACAAAGGCCAT